ACTTATGGTTGATTTTGAGTTTTGATTATAACAAACAAATTATTCTTATCTCTAACATTCATATACGAGTCTTCATTGTTACATGTTACGAATCTGATGGAAATCGAGCATTCACAATCAAGCTTGGAAATCGAGCACTCGCGTTAAAACAATTGGAGACAAATCAAGCACTCGTGAAAAATTCAAAATCGAGCAACAAAACGTGTACTCGTGCCAAATCAATCGAAGACATTAGACTTAGATTATTTGAATCCATGTGTAAAGGTAAAATGCTTTAATTCTTAGCAATGAATTACTACAAGCTCGTAAGTTAAAATTTTTATGCTTGAAATAAACTTCTCACAAAAGCACTAGCATAAAAATTATTTTTGATATGACAAAAATCTCCATTTGACTTTTGAATTCTTTACCAATGATACTTATTTGACAAAAGTTAAGTGAAAATGTCCTTAAAGGATTTACACTTGCAAAAATAATCAAGAAAAGAGTAAACCGGAGATTTCTACTCTGACGAACGTCCGGTGAAGTCTAGCGGATGTCCGGTAGCCCAACGATCAAATTTTTAACTGTTCTGATTTTTGACGTTCAACGGCTAGTTCAGTCGTCCAATATAGTGGTGGAAACCCTATAAGGGTCATTCGATTGGACATAACTTTTTGACATTTTGACTGCTATAAATATCACTTCACTTTACGTTCAAGAACACTTTTTTTAAGAACATTCAAGTAAGATTCTTTTGAGAAAAATTGTATTGATATCTCATATCATTTATTATCAAATCATTTGGGTGTTGAAAAATAAATTAACTCTTGAAAATCATTCTACAGTTCAAAGTTTTTCATACCTAACACTTAACTTCATTCATTGCTATCTATTAAAGTGTTAGCCTATTTCTCTCTTGATATTAATTGTGATCATATCATTTATGGAGAAAGAAGTTTCAATTTGTAAAAGGATCGGTGCTCCTTACTTGTAAGTCATCAAAAGCTTTGTAAAGGATTGGATTGCACCACAAGTCAATAAACATAGTGAAATTGGTCTTGCTCGTACTGGAGAGCTCGGTAACGGAAGACATAGATCATTGCGTTGGATCAAACATTCATAATTATATCATTTGCATTCTCTATCCCTCTTTACTTATTGCTTTCGTATTCGTGCTTGCCATTTGAATTCTATCTAGTTATCACGTGCTTGATTTTAAGTTTATTTTTCAAAAAAAAAAAATTTAAAAACATTTTCACCCCACTCTTGGTTAGCTATTCTTGGACTATCACCTCAAAGGATCTACTTGTTAGGTACATCACCAAGACTGAAATTGCAATCCAGAATCAACATGCTTCTATCCAAAACTTAGAAAATCAGGTGGGACAGATAGCAGCTGCATTGTCCAACAGACCACAGGGTACCTTACCTAGTGGTCTGTTTGATTTTTAGCAAGTGTACGATACCATGAACAAGTAATAAGTGATAAATAAAGTATCATTCCCATGAGGATAGTGTACTTAACTAGGATCAATCAATATTTATTTTAATCGAATAGAAGATTTTGTTGACAGATTTATGCTAAATTAACTAATTAAACTAATTATTCTATTGAGCAATTTATAAAACTTTTTATAAATTTTGATATGATTTTACTAAGACATTGTATCCCCATTATTAATTTGTTTCAATGGAAATCAATAACATGACAATATGTAGACATTCTTGTTGATCAATGTTCCTAAATTAATTAAACGCATCTCTCGATATTGAATTTAATTTATCATCTTATGTGACTTCCTCATATCTCTATGAAAGATGCTAACATGAAAGCATTAAAAATGCTAAAACATCTATAGAAATCATACAAAGCATATCAATATATCTCTATCCCCTATCAGACTTTACAATAGTTGTTATAATGTACTTTCTATCCTATTATTTTTCTCGAAATCAATAAAATCACAATCAATCCAATTACTGGTCAAGTAATTGAAAATTCATTAAATCCTATAACAATCATCCAAGAATTTTACATATTGGGCGTCCAGATATCGAATTTATATTAAAACATCATAGTAAGCCCTTGTTTGAGCTCCATTATTCGAAATAAATTGATTTTGGAATTTTTTTTTTTTTTTTTTTTTTTTAGTGAATGTGTGATTAAAAAGTAAAAAGAATTTTTTGGTTTACATATAATATTATTTTATTGATACAGTGTGTGGTTGATAAGAGGATAGAGAAAAATGAATTAAAATTTAATGGTGGCCAAACAAGGGCTAAGTGTTCGTCAATATCTTAATAATTAAAATCTAGCCTAACATTACAAAATCACAAGAAAACATATTTAATTGGAAGAACGTAACCCGAATTTTAGATTGATGAAGGAGAGGAAAATGGATCTTGAAATCTTGAATTTCTTCAATGGTTTCTTGATGAATATCCAATATATCTTCTTGTTGTTTCTCAAAAAATCAAGGTTGAAACTCCAATTTCTTGAAAACTTGTGATTACCTTTTAATTCTCACAAGAATAATGGATTTGTCTCTTTAATGATGTTAATTGATGGATTTAGGTGTATGAGAGGTGTCTCTAATGTATTATGTTGTTAGGTACTTGTAGGAGTCGAAAATTGGTTGAAAATCATGTTCAAATTGGTTTCCAAAAGAATCTCAATCAAATAACGAAAGTTGTTTTCTTGCACACATGTTTTTGTCTCTACATAGTCGTCAGTATTTCGATCGTAACTTTCTCTCCTAATATCCGATTGAGACAATTCAATACGTTGCAAAGATAACTCAAATAGATACAACATTGATAGAAATAGAGTTTTTTCAATTCGAACGTTTACTATACAAAAAATGGGTCTCAATTTTTGGCTAAAAATCAAGAATAAAACTTGTGTGATTGGAAATTGATTTTTATAATACTTTGATCATATTTCATTCATTTTTTACTTCTTTCTCTCAATTTCACTTCTAATCATAGAGTTTTACCTAATAAATGAAATATATAATAAATTAGGCTATAATTACTCAAAAGACCTATTAAATTTCTATTTTTTAGGTCAAAATAAGTGTATAAAATACACTTATCACCTAGCAACATAGAGAAGAACCCACGGGAGCAGGTACGAGCTATCAAAGCTATAGAGAATGACATGGACAACTCATTAAGGATCAAATTCGCTCCATGCTAATGAAGTTATGTGCCACCTATTACATTTCCTCAAAGGCTACGAAGGTGGTCAAAAGAGGAACAGGAACGTGCCATCATAACTAGGAGCGGTGTTTTGCTGTTAAAGATTAGTGCAATAATTGAAGAGACTGAGAGTAATCAGATACCTACCACGGGAGAGAAACAAGTTAATCAGAGTTAAGGCAACCGTTCTTATCAATACACTTACACCTCTAGTATCGTTTCCTTAAAGGTTGCAAAACACGAAGTTGGAGAGGCAGTTCACAAAATTCTTAGAGATCCTCAAAAAGCTACATGTTAACATTTCTTTCATCGATGTAATCTTTCACATTGCAAACTATTCAAAATATCTGAAAGAGATGTTAACTAAAAAGAGGAAGCTACCCAAACATGAGATTGAAAGACCCATGGAGTTTCAATCTACCTCTATAGGAAATTTAATTAGTATAGATGCTTTAACTGAGTCTAGAACAAGTATTAATTTGATACATCTGCCTTTTTACTGGAAACTAGGATTGGAAAATCCAAGGGCAACTTCAATAATCCAACAATTGGCGAATAAAACATTAAAAGCACCATTTGGGAATATTTAAGATATACTTATCAAAGTTGGAGACTTTTTTTTTTTCTATCTGATTTCATTATCCTTGACATTGAAGAAGTACATCAGCTGCTAGTAGTCCATTCTTATCAACCAGTCAAACTTTGTTGGATTTTGAAACAAGGGAGCTAATATTGAAGGTGGAAGGTAAGCAACAAAATTTCACCATAAACAATCCACTTAGACAACTATCATACCTTGTGGATTTTAAGAAAGTGGAAATAGAAATAAGGGATGACTATGCAACTCATCGCTACAAAAAGGTCTTTAGTGGATTGGTTGAAACTATAAAGGATCAATATGGAAACTTTTAGCATTGGAGAGTCAATGATGAGGCTGAAAATGTCCGCAAGTTCAGCCGTTGCAAGGCTAAAAATTTTCTGTTCAAGCCCCCTTAAATAACCAAAACAGTAAAGTCAAACTAAAAACTATAAACAAATGCATATTGGTAGGCAACCCAATCTTCTTTCCCTTTTATTTATTATGCTTTCTAGACATATGATAGAGAGTTTACTTTTAATCATGTATCATCATCCATACAAGTTAACGTGAACTTTCTTTGTTCCATGTTCCATCTTTTGTTTCGTTTCCTCTTCGTCCCTTGAATTTCTAGTTGATTTTGAGATGTTTAGGGCTAAGTACTAAATGCTTCAGGTTATTTGGTCCCAATGTTTGAGTTGTATGTTGCAGGAACTTGACATGGAGGAACATTCAAACCAACATCGGACAAGGAGAAGAGTGTGACAATGTGAACCAACTAGCTATTACACTTCATGCCCTTTCATCCATCAATTTCAACTTAAACAGGGGAGTCTTCAGTTTCTCCTCTTTGTCCTTGTATTCACATACTAGAGCTATAGTTTCGTACATTTAGGATCATGCATGTTTTAAGTTTAGGGGTATTGTATGATATTATTGTCCATTGCCCATGTTGCATGCTTGTTGTGTGAAATAGTAAAAAAATTACTTTTTATTACTTTTGCGTACTTGTGTGGGTTAGATGACTTTGCCAACAATAGTTGATTAAGGGCCTGTTTATGCCAAATTAAAATCTAATTTTAATCTATGTCAAAGTCAGACAATTAATATTAACCACATCTTTTCAACCACACATTTCAAAAACTTATATCACAATCCACTAAAAATCTAATTTTAATCCCCACCAAACACCCTCTAAATGTGCAAAATAGAGATAAAATTAAGCTTTACATTTTCCCTTCTAAGTAAAAGAAAACTTTGGGACAATGCGAGGTGAGAAGAAAATGAGGATGAACTGAAAGAATGGAGAAAATAATACCCTCGGGCGTTTTGGACTTGGTTGCGATTCAGGGCCACCTCGCTGACGAGAAGAAGCCCCTTGATCTCGGTTTTCATCAGCCTGCACATGCAAAAAATTGCTTAGCCACAGCATTATTCACCTCTAGTTAAAAAACTGCAAGCATCTTAATTTGAGAAGTATCAATGGAACTGGACTGCAATGGATAGTACTTTCCATTGCAGAAAATGAAAATTTGCAATTGCCTGTCTGAGCGAAACTGACATTTGATCTTTCAGATAGAAATTACATCCCTGAGCATCTTTACCTGGGGTTCAGATGAGTTTGCGCCTCCAGTAGGGGCTGCAGCTCTATTTTCTTGAATAATGGGCATTATCTGATGGAGTATATTAGACAAAAATATCCCTTCACGACTTGCTGTTTCTGCTGCCTCCGGAGTAGTACTGGCATCCTGGGTTGCTCCAGCACGAGGTGGGCTAACACTGTCACCAAAAATATGCTCACCTGGAAATATTGTCCTCAGCAGTTCTCCAAGTCCACTTTGGATCTGCGCAGAGAATCCTGGCCTGTGGGATGCTTCACTAGTTGTACCGCTGCCTAAAGATAATAGTTGTAGTTAGTTAATAAGCACAATAGGATGACAATCGTGAATGGGGTCAAAAGTGTCCAATCATATGTACACTTACCATTTCCTCCAGTGTCTCCAATATTTTGCTGCTGTGTTGCAGAATCAGACATTGTTTGTTGTTCAGTGTCAGTATCCTGACCATGATGTTGCTCGGATGCTTGAGAAGCACTTGCGCCATTTGAATTTCCAGGAGTTACATGTTGAACTCTAGCTAAAACTGGGTATACCATTCCGATTGAACCATGAGGTGAATCAGAACCACGTTCACCAGAAGCGGGAACAGCAGCAATCATGGTCCTGATAGGAATTGCCTGCACTTCAGAATCCTGGGTAGAGGTATTTGCATTTAGTCCTACGGTAGCTTGTTGACCAGAATTTCCACTGGTAGAAGATACAGGAATACCAGGTCCTTGAAACTGTAAACCAGCTGCCTCTCTCCGGGACAGCAATGAGCCTGACAGCAAAAGTAGTGTGAAAAGAAAACTATATATAGAAGTCATGAGTTCAGTATTTAGATATGCAAACATCACATTTGCATTTGATCATTAGCGAGGAAGGTAACTAAAGTATGCTTAATTGACGAAAAAATTCTCAACTTCCTAAAATGTGACGCAAGCACAAGATATGCTTTCAAATGCAGACAAACTGTAGGAAATTATAAATTGTATATGAAGTCTTGTGTTACAATTACAAAGTAGAAGACCCTATTATAGGGTTACAAATAACACTAAAAATGAATGAATGCATCTTTCGTACCAGCTTCGAAGCACACAAGCAATTTTGAAGTATCCTTTGACCTTTGGAAGAGGATGACTTGCTTGGATCAATTTAGTTTTCAAACTCAATTTGGTTTCCACGACACCATACTAAGTTTGAGGGTGGATGTTGGAGATATGGAAAGATTGTGATATTATTCCTTTTTATATTTTCACAATATTGGGATTATTTTCCTTTTGTAGTTGATTGTGTGATTATACACAATCTTTTCTTTTATGACTATTTGTAACCCTGTAAATAAGGACTTCTATCTTATAATAATAAAGAAATTATATACAGTTTATTACTTACACCACAAACCTAGCCAGAGATAAAATTCCCTAGGCTAACATTTTATACAGCACCTGTTCGTACTCTGATGTCGATATTCCTTGGAAGAAAACCAGGACCAATAGATCCTCCCGATAATCCTGAGCCATTCTGCACAGTTCCAAATGGATTTGCCCCAAAATTTGCTCCCGGTTGAAACGGCAGAGGCTACATATGGTTCGTATGGAAGAAAATGAGAATATATTCTGGAGGTGCCACAAACAAAAGGAGGAACGTC